CCTCACTCGTCTCTCCCTCGGAGGCCATCTCATCGGGACCATCCGAAGTAGCTATGACTGATCTATCAAAGGAGACAATCGAGTCAGCTTCAACAACTTGAATTACTTGTTCCCACGAAGGGGAATCATCTCTCAATGGTGTGCCAAGCGGTCTCGTCAACCGATCAGAAACATTGTATTGAGAAGGGATATGACGAAATTGCAAATCAATATTAGGACTGCATTCAATAATATCAGAACATGTAGACTTAATTGCGAGTAATCTAGTAAGCTCTGGCTTAGGTAATCGTGAGCGCATCTTCTGGCCGTGGCCAGACAAGACCGCTCTCAAACGGAATAAAGTAATACTACTATCACCGAGGATGACAGACCTCGTGACTTTAGATCTCAATGCCGTAACAATGCTATACAATTGCTCAATACCGAGGCGCATTGCTTCCAATTCTCTCCTGGGAATCGTGCCTCCCGGAGTCACACTGAACTTAGCAAAGAGACGAGCACCCGAGCCGGCTCGAATATCAATAGCAATGCATGCCTCAGAGGCATCGACGAAGACGAATAAAGTAGACACATCAAGATAGCGAGGGGGAAGAATACGATCAGAATGCAGGAATGAGTTACATGCAGTAATGGTACTCAATATAATAGATGCCGTCTCCTCGTCCACAATGTCCGTACCATCTTCGAAGTCCTTCCTCCTCTGCTTCAGGCTCTCATGAGCCAGCCGAGCCGCCCATCTGAGCTCCAAGGACACTTCCGCAAAAAGACCCATGGGGTCGAAGAACTTGCCTGGCAAGTCTTGCCAAATGCTGATCTCAGGGCAGACTCCGTGACCTTGGATTCCTTCGCCAATTCTATCTGTCGCAGCCGCACATCGATAACATCAATTCGCTCGCCACAGAGCCAGTCGTAACCGAGCCAACCTCCTGTTCTGAACTTCTCACTGAGAATCTTCTCCTTAGATACCCCTCGACCTATACAGTCTTCACCCGTGTCGAGATTGGACATTCGCTTGTCCTGGTGGACCTCGAACCCCCGCTCTTCTAATGCGGGAACCACCTCCCGACGAATCTTCGACACCTCAGAGCAACTGTCCCCTCGCAGAAGGACATCGTCGACATAGAAGGAGATAGCTTCGGCCCCGTCCGTCCCCCCGATCTGTTTGAGGATCTTTCCCAAGACCGAGGAGAGGGCCCAAGGGGACCAATTCGTCCCGAAAGGGACATGGATCCACCTTATGATCCTCGACCCGACGCACATCCCCAACCACTTCACATCCGATTCATCGATGTGAACCGACCAGAAGGCCTTCTTGAGGTCCTCACAATCAACTCTCTTTGAGGCTCGCCACTCTAGAATCCGTGACTGTAGGTCCATGTCCGCGGCCTCCTCGTCCCCTTCTTTATTCGTGAAGTTGTTAAGCTCTCGAGCGTCGATGCAGATACGACAGCGTGTGGACTTTCGCTGATTGGCGAAGACCGGAACCCCACACATATAGTGGTAGGCCCACTTCCTCGGGTCCTCCCCCAGTGGGAGTTCCTCGACCGCCCCGGACTTCAAGAGCTCGTCCACGGCCGCTTCATACGCTGCTAACTCTTCAGGTCTCTTGGCCAGCCTCTGTGTGATCTTCAAATCTCGGCCTCTGATGGCATCATAATTCTGCTTAGGTCTACGATCATCAATCCAAGGGACCTTCACGACTGCTGGCCACACTCTTC